CATGGATTAAAAAAAAAAATTTAACAAATTTTCAAAAAATTCGATCATTTATTACAAAAAAAAATTCAATTACGGATTAAAAAAAAAATCACAAATTTTCAAAAAATTCGATCATGGATTAAAAAAAAAAAATCACAAATTTGCAAAAAATTCGAGCATTGATTACAAAAAAAAATTCGATCATAGATTAAATAAAAAAAATCACAAATTTTCAAAAAAATCGATCATGGATTAAAAAAAAAAAATCACAAATTTTCAAAAAATTCGATCATGGATTAAAAAAAAAAAATCACAAATTTTCAAAAAATTCGATCATAGATTACAAAAAAAATTTGATCATGGATTAAAAAAAAATCACAAATTTTCAAAAAATTCAATCATGGATTACAAAAACTTCAATCATGGATTACAAAAAATTCGATCTTGGATTACATAAAACTCGATCATGGATTACAAAAAAAAAAAACATAAAATTCGATCATGGATTACAAAAAAAAAAAACAATTCGATCATGGATTACAAAAAATTCAATCATGGATTATAAAAACTCTATCATGGGTTACAAAAAAAGCAAAAAACAAAAAATTCGATCATGGACTACAAAAAACAAAAACAAAAATTTCGATCATGGATTACAAAAAATTCAATCATGGGTTACAAAAAAAAAAACAAAAAACAAAAAATTCGATCATGGATTACAAAAAAAAAAAAAAACAATTCGATCATGGATTACAAAAAATTCGATCATGGATTTCAAAAAATAAAAAATAAATAAATAAATAAATAAATAAAATTTGTTCTCCACAGAGCCATCTTACATAAGCCATTTTAACCCAAAAATCCACCTCTAAGTGAATAAATTACGTCTAATTGAGTACATTTTCTGATAAACAACAACATAAGGAATCAAAACCCTAAATTTTGAACACATTATCATGAATAAATCAAATCAAATCGATTAAATTGAGAAAAAAAAAAAAACACAGTTCTTTTCTTCACAGACAAGAGTCATTGAATCTAAAAAATGAAGCTCAAATTGAATACATCAGATCAAATTGAATACATCTAATTATAAACAACACTATAACGATTAAAAACGCTAAAAATCTAATACATTATTTGTAATATATCATGAACAAAAAATCGAAAGGTGGAAAAAAAAAAAAAACAGCAGAAATGTTTTTCCACAAACATCATTGTGTTCATCTAAAAATTCATGCTGTAATTGACCAAATTACATAAAATTGAATATGTTAAATCATAATAGACACAATAAAGATTAAAAACCCTACAAATTGAACTCATTATCTTCAAAATATGCAGTGAAATCATACAGCAGAAAAAAAAAAAAAACCCAAACTTCTTACCTGGTTTTGTGAACCCGATCCTTCAATCTCCAAATAACTCTGTTTTTCTCAACGATTATCACAAATTCGTAACAGAAGGTTTTCATGAACAACTTTACGATCAAAATGCCTACAAATTTTGACAGATTTATACCCTATTTGGCATGAAACACAAGGAAAGGCGGGAACCCTAAAAATGCAACTTTCGTGATCCAAAAACACAAAATTTCTCAAACATTTAATCCGTGAAAAAACTGGAATAAAGTTGTTTAAAACCTGCGTATTAGATCCCATGTCAAAAAAACAAGAAAAATGATCAAAAAATGATAAATTTTGAAGAATCCCGTGAAGAACACTGTGCAGCCCGTGTTCTTCACGGGACTTGCCGATTCTGCATAGTGAATCGACGAGTCACTGTACAGAATCACTCGGTTCTCTCTAGAACAAGACGATTCTCCGTTTTTTGAGCGATTCGAGACGTCTACTGTTGATTCCCAAGTCCGGTTCGACTCGACGGTTTTTTAAACACTGTTTTCAACACTTAAATTGCAATTTTTGATAGTTATGAGATGAGGCGTATACTTATTTCGATAGGGCTGCAGCCTTATCAAACCAATTCCACATTAAAATTAAATGACCTGGAACATTCTCAATGATAATCATTCAAAAGATGATCTGATCCTTTAAGTCACACATCACTTGTGGCTATTAGTGGTGAACACTGATATCTTTCTTGTGGTGAACACTCTTATCCTTCTTTCCCTCCTCTGACCAACCAGCTACCAATTTCAGATGCAAAAGTGAGAAGCAAACAACGAGCAAGGGCTTCAAGGCAAAAATTCAAGGACCAAATCATGACCGTTCATCATCACCATCAACGCCCACCCCGAAGACTACTGGGGGACTTTGACCCATCGCTCCCCTTAACTCCCACTCTATTCCCTTCAAAAGCCACAAATTCAACAACCCAACAGCAACAAAGCATGGAGCCCAGCTTCACCTCAGCCATCAGCGTCTTCGCACTCTTCGCCGCCCTCTTCTTTATGGCCCTCCTCTCTCTCTACATGAGTCGCCTCTCTTTCTCTAGGCCTGCAGCGGCGCCGCGACCGCAAGCCCGCCTCCCGGGCACCACGCAGGGCCTCGACCGGATCGCGCTGCGCAAGCTTCCGATGCTCCCATCGCGCGCCGGGGGCTCGTGCGCTGTGTGCTTGGGCGAATTCGAGGACGGAGAGATGTTGAAAATGGTTCCCGCCTGTGGCCATGCGTTCCACCCCTTCTGCATCGACCATTGGCTCGGTGCGCGCGCCTCGTGCCCCCTCTGCCGCGCGGCGGTGCGCGGCCCTGCCACTGAGCCGAGTGAATGGGCCGACACTGGTGCGGCTGGGTGGCCGGAAGCTGAGGCGGTGGAGTTAGGGTTAGGGTTGGGGTTGGGGTTAGGGGTGAGGAAGAGTAACAGTTGGTGTAGTTTGGGTGGGTACACGGGTCACTCGATGCAGAGGAGTTTTAGCGTTTGATGGCGCCGAAATTTCGGCAGTGTGCGGACTTCACACGAAATATTGCAACACGTATGAAGCAGCCGGAATTTCGGCTGAAATGTTGACGTTGTGCTGAAAGTAGAAGTTATTTGGCTGTATATAGGTGTAAATCGTGTAAATGGAGCGCTCATGTTCATTTGCAAGACTGTGCCAGAGCAGGGAGGGGTCGGGTCGGGTCGGATCGACCTGGACAGACCCAAACCCAAAAATATAGTGTGGGACACAAACACAAACACAAACACAGACTCAGACCCTGATGGAATTGGACCTAATGCAAAAATTAAAATATCTATGTAATTGTATTTAAAATATATTTTATATATTGAGACCCATAAAATATTACCAGAGTTGGACCCCAATAGTATAAGGGTCTAAGATTGGATCCAGACTTGATCCCTTGGGTCCAATTTTTGGACCTATACTCAGACCCGGTTTGGGTATACCCCTCAAGTCTCTGGTTAAGTCTTGGTCCATTGCCACCCCTGATTGGGGTATTATTCCCTCTTATGTTTTTAAATATCAATCTTCCTTATAACACTAGGTTTATGTTACGTTTGGTTCGTGGGAAAATATTTTTTTATGAAATTTTTTTTCATGTAGTTAAGTAAGAATATTTTTATGTCAATTAGTTGTTAATTGGTGTGAAAATATGTACTAAGAACAATTGGTATAAAAATATTCCTACATTTGATCGCATGATAATTTTTTTTCATGTGAAAATATTTTTTAGAAAATATTTTTACATTTATACGCAAATCAAACGTGCCACGGAGTCGGCCAACCTGAATATGCTCGTCATCTAAAATTTACCGAGAAGGGGTTTTTTTATCCAAATTTTTGGGGATTCATGATCTAAACATGATCATGAATATGAAAAGAAATAAAACTTTTAAAATTGGATGGGTTTCTATAAGGCTTAGACCATATTCTAAGGCTTAGACCTGAGAGGACAAAATAGCAAAGCCTCACCTCAGAATCTCGTCCCAAAATCGTATGGCCTTAAAATCTATGTTCACACCGATTATAAAATTTATAGCTTACAAAAGTATTAATTGTGTAGGTCAAGAGCCCTTAAAAATGGATGGTTTAGATAGTGTATTACAATGTACATTATTTTTAGGGTTTGAACTCCTTTTTCTTTCACAACCACAATGATCAAGAAAAAAATGATCGATTTGGAGGTTTTCAAACACTAAAACTATAATTTTGGGTTAGGTTTGAATTAAGGCTTTACATTTTTCTTAAAGCCTTGGCCTTATTTTTTAAAAAAAATGTAAAATTTAAAATTTATTTTTTTGCCTCTTTTTTTGCATTGTCCATATGTTATTTTGGTCCGGTGTACTCTACACTACATCCATTTTAAAGATGGGCATTCATGAGTTAGTGGGTTCTTATACTCACCAACTCATATAAATCTTTTTGAGGTACTCCCACACATGTAGTATCTTTTTAATATACTCAATTGTTTTGGACACTTGATACCCTTATTGAACAATTTAGTAACTATTTTATTTAAGGGTATCGTAGGTAATAAATCAAGAGTAAATTTAACTTTCTTGAAAGAAAGAAATTGATTTGTTAACTATAGTGAAAAATGATATCATCTATATAAAGCATTAATTATCTTTTAACCACTAATATAATGCTACTAGTTTCTAATAGTAATGTCTATTCTACTCTCCATTTAATTTTCTGTGTCGTTGGTTGTCTCTTTATTTATTTCGAATATTGTATTGCAATTTCCTTTTGATTTAATAAAACCTAGTACTCTTGTAATATATATATATATATAGGAAGATACTACAAAACGCCTATAGGCGAAAATGAATAGTGATTTCGCCTACTTTCATCACACGGTCACGATTGTCCATTAGTATTTCATTTTACTTTTTTGTTTTACAAATTGGAATGATTTAAAATTTCGACCGTGTGTTCATAAAAAATAGGCGAATCTACAAAAAATATCAAAAAAATATTTTACATAAAATAAATTAACCAAAATACCCCCAAAACGTTGTAGGGGTATTTTTGTTATTTTTTGCAAATTAATTATTTTTCATATTTTAATTAGGTGCGTCTCACTCAGATGTACACACGCTCCAAATTTTAGATCATCCCAATTTGTACAACAAAAATAAAAAATGAAACACTACCGGACAATAGTGTCCATGGGTGAAAATGAACAATGATTTCACCTACTCTCATCATCACCGTCCAAAGTTCATCGAACGGTCACGATTGTCCGATAGTGTTTCATTTTTCATTTTTTTTCTACAAATCTGAATGATCTGAAATTCGGAGCGTGTGTACTCTTAGTGAGGGGAACCTAATTAAAATATGAAAAAAATAATTCATAAAATATAAATTGATCAAAATACCCCTATAAATTTTTGGGGATATTTTGGTCAATTTATATTTTACGAATAATTTTTTTTCATATTTTTATTAGGTGCACCTCACTAAGATGTACCCACGCTCCAAATTTCTAATAATAGGATTTTCTAGTTCACACTTGATCTTCAAATGAGGCTTGTCACAAGATTTTCTTAGGAGATGCTTATTCTTTTTCATCTGCTTCACAAATTCAACTTGGTTACATAATCTTTCTAAAGCATAGAGTACAAACTGATAAATCTCATCAAAACTGACATTCTGAATTTTGAGACCTTGGTTTTCCATTGTTTTTGTTACTTCCTTATTAAGGGTTGGAGGAATAGACTCAAGATAGAATTGTTTTAAATTCACATCATCAATACCTCCAATTTTATGGTATCGTTTATTCATTTTTGAAAAATGTTTCTCAAGGTCATGTCTTTTGAATGAACAACATTTAAGCTGAAAGAATTCTTCTCGTGCAGTAATTTGTTCATGTTTAACAGGATCTGTAAATTCAGATACCAAATAATTAAGGAATTCAACAATTGACTCACAATTTATTAACTGAGTTTGGCGATATTCTTCGAGATTGATGTACCAATCAAATAATCTTCCTCGCAGTCTTACAATGACTTTACTAATGGTGCTTGTCAAGGTATTAGCAGGATTAAGCATTTCTGCATGCATCCATCCTTGAATTTCACAAAATCTATCATTCCATTTTGAAGGAGGAATGTCATCCAGAGTGAATCATTTAGATGAATCTCCATAGGAAGGGTGAGGTTCTGGTTGAACTGGAGGTCTGACTTCTTCATCAATTATAGGGTCAGGGTCAGGTTCCATGGGTTCATTTAGCAACAAAGGGTCATGAGAAGAGGAAGAGGAGAAGTTATGGCTAGAGGTTTTAGAGAAATCTGTTATAGAATCAGAGGATTGGGTTTCTGTGTGGAGGTTTAATTCTGGTTGTCTAGTTAAATTTTTTAAAAAAGTACTCATATCTTGCAAAGGTTCAGGGGAGGTTAAACTCTGTGGTGAAACTGATGAAGCAACTACATCTGAATCAGTATCAGATGCTTGGATCATTTGAGTTTCTTTCTTTTGGGGAATGGAAAAGGAAGTTTGAGTAGGAGGTTCAAGAATAGGTTGTGTAGTGGATGGAGGATTGGGTACAGGAGGATTAGGTGTTGGGGTCTGAGATGAACTTGGTTGGGAAGTGTTCGGTTTTTTCCTTAATTGAGGAAAGAACATCTCTTCATGGAAACGTCTTTTTTCTTCAAAAGAGCTGAAAGACCTAAAACCAAAGTTCCTTGGTATGATTAAACCAGTAGGAGGGTATAAGGTTCTTGTGGGAGGAAAAGGATCAGGGTTTTTTAAGGTTGGATAACTTGGGACATAAGGGCTTGAAAATAATGGTCTGAACTGGGACTGGTATGGAGATTGAGACTGAGACTTCATCCAAAGATCTCTTTCAAGACTATGAAGCTGTTTTTCCAAAAATGCTTTCTCTTTTCCTTTCTGATCAAGCAAATATGACTGCTGATAAATATCCTTCATAGAGACAGTTTTTAACATACCTACAGAATCCTTGGTATTTGGGTTTTTGATCTTCCATACATGCTTTTCATTAGCATGAATTTTTTCATAATCATGTTATGAAGGAAAATTACTAGAATAATTAGAACTTTGAGGATCAAACATCAAACATTCAACAACTTGACTTTGTTTATTAAAGGCATCATCCTGATCATCCCATCCAGTGGGGATGATTTCACAAGATTCTGGTTACTGCTTCCATTCCTTTTCGACCATGAAAGGTAAGGGCTAGTTTAATGGCTCCAAAATGGATATGGGTATATCCTTCTTTAAGCCATTGAGGAAAAATGTTTCTAGGAAGGGTAATGGTAACATACTGCTCAGCTTAAGTAGCAGGAATGTGGTGTTGGTCAAAAGAAGAGGCTTGAACATATTCTTTGATGGCTTCTGGATTCTTTTTCCCACAAAGTTTCTTGATTTGTTTAGTCCAATTCAAACTTGATTTATCATAAGCATGAAGAAGATCTATTTCTGTAGTAGCAAAGACACACTTTTTTTCAGAGAGCATGATACCATATTTACAGCAAAGGGAATAGAACTTATCTAAGAGAGTAACATGACTTTCAAGATCAGGGGAGAATAGTAGAATGTCATCTATATATATCAAAGCTTGTGCTGAGATTGGTTAAAAAATAGTGGTTAAATCTTTTTGAAAATAACTGGGTGCATTTTTTAAACCAAAGGGCATAACAGCCCATTGAAAATGATAATTTGGAAGACAAAAGGTTGTTTTTGATCTATCATCTCGGAGTATGCCTATCTGTCAAAATCCTGACTTTAAATCAAATTTTGAAAATATATGAGCATGAGATATCTGAGAAAATAAACCAATCTGGTTAGGCAAAGGAAATTTATCATTTGTAAGAAAGGTACTCAATGGTTGATAGTCGATGACTAATCTAAGTTTTCCTCGGGTTTGTTCTGTTCTTTTATTGACATAAAAGGCTTCACATGCCCATGGAGAACTAGTTGATTCAATTAAGCCTTCCTTGATCAGATCATGAATTTCTTGTTTGGATTTTTCCAACAAATCAAGATTTAAACCTTCTGTGAGAGGCTTTGGTAGAATTGATGTCTTCATTTTTTTTGAAAGGGAGTTTAACATAGAAGTTTTGGTTTCTCCAGAGTGGATTGGTGCTTTTTTTAAGGAATTTCGAATGGGAATTTGCA